TTCATAAGTAAATATAATATTTCACATTTGTTTAACATAGTTGGATATAAAAGATAATATATGTAACATAATAAATGCGTGACTTTTTGTGGGGGCAAAAAAATCAACAAATTAATTATAATATGAAAATAAAAATTTTTGCCCCGATCGGCACTAATTAAGTTCTTTCCTTTATTCGTGGAACACGAATTAATTGTTTCTCATGCATAATTTTGACCAATGATAAATTAGTGGGCACATGACTTGGAATTTATTTTTACAGACAATGAATTAAATGACAAAAAGAAAATTATTTTATGGATTCTGTTGATGTGAAATCTTGTACTATAGATTTGGTAGAAACTTCTGTATTAAAATTTTTGAAAACTTGTACTAAAAGATTTAATAATATATTTTTTGCATTTATATCACCTGAAGAAGCAACATTGTTGATCCATCTAAAAAAAAAATCAAAGATGGGGATGATTCTTTATCATGTATACATGGTTTTGTTCCTGTTCTTATATGTACATCAGGAAATTAATTTAGCATAAACTTGCATAAATCTTACGATGCCAACGTAATATTGTGTAAATCTTACAGTGCCGACGTAAGTTTTACACTTTTTTATTATTAAACTTACAATTGACATGTGTAAAATTTTTTTATATTTTCCAGATGTATATGTTTGACAAAGTCCATTGTAGTTGGATAATCACAAGCTTCTTCATTTTTATAAGAATAAAATTAACAAAGAACCTTGTAACACTAAATTATTGACATCTTTACATATACCATGTTAGCTGATTTGTTTCCAGAATTCTACTAGGTCAGGATAAATTAATATTGCTCTTGCAATTATGCTCAATTGCTTGTTGTTTTAAATCCATCATTGGGCTGGATACTCTTTACAATTAAGTATTAAGTATTTGCATTTCTATTTGGTAATCAATTGAGTCATCAAATGGGATAATTGGTTTTGGGGAGAAAGGTATGAATTTTTATTTAATATAAGATCATTTATTTTTTCAAGATTTTCAATTAATTTTTTTTGGAACCAAGTCTATGGCTAATGGTCCTCCAGTCAAAAATGAAACGTTTCAATATCATTTCCTTTCAAAGGAAAACTTTCTCTATACTGCAATTTGGCTTCTTTTAACAAAGCTACAAATACCACTACTGGAATATTTGAGGCTCAAGGATTCCTATAATATTTTCGAAAAGCTTCAGATATTCCTTGATCCATGTTGTTATTATTGCTGTTGTTGTTGTTGGTGCTGATGTCATTTTGTATTTTTAATTCAACTAAACTATCGTCGGTTTTTCCGAATTGTAATAATAATCGTTGCACGAGATATCTGGATAAAATCACGTTTTCTTTGATAAGAAGATCAACTAATTCTAATGATATAAAGTTATTATAGAGAATCGCGTAAAAAAACGAATGTGCTTTGCCGTGGTTTTTAATGATCCAGTTTGCTCTTACTTTGGGATCTTTTGATATTTTATACCACGATTTATCAGTTAAAATGAGCGAAAATGTGAATTTTGTATTTTTAAATATTAATTTTTTTATTTCTTCATTCATTTTTTTCTCTCAATTGAGAGAAAAAAAAAATAGAGCGTTTATATAAATACACATCTAAAATCGATAAATCGAACATTTATTTATATTATAAAGTACTTTAAACAATTGATTGCTGCGTCTGACTTATCGAGTTTAGATTTGTATGCAAAATAACGATTTTAATTTAATTAATACTAAATGATATCATCAAAATATAGGAAAATGAATATTGAACCGTTTTTTTATTGTAAAAAAATAATAATAGTAATGATACATTAAGGGGTTAAGGATAATAAGTTTTACCACGGATTGTTCATACAATTGGAAAAGAATCCTTTGCCATAATTCAATAAAAAGGGCACTGTTTATTGTTAGCAAGTGTCTATTCGCCACTACTATCTTTTTTTTTGTCGTGGAATTTTTGAAAAACGTATAGAATCTGAATACAACAATTTCAATAAACTCCTCATCAACTTGATTTTCAATGTCAAACTATAAATCAAGTCGTGCCCCAAACAGAGGAGCCATATAATTTAATAATTTATATTTATCATTTATAACTTTATAATCATAAAAAGAAAAAATACGAAACAGGACTATATATCAATATCCAAAAAACTGTAGTGAAAACCTCGGGCAAAAATTCAAAGAACGAAGAACATCCAAAAAAGTGAGTGGTCGGGTTTTTTTATTTATTATAAATTATACAATTTAGAATATAAAAAAGTATTGTGGTACAAATGTAAAATCTTTTTATTTAACGTATATTATAAATATTTGGGAAACGAATCATAGGATACGAAATATTGGTTTTTATAGTTGAAATTATTATACATGAATAGATAAAATTAAAGGATTTAATAATTAAAGCTTCAAAAATAAAATTATTCGATAAATTAAAATGTCTCAAGTATCTAATACGTTGAAATAAATCCTCAATCCAGACATAAACCTGTGACTAGTCCTGAACTTGAACCGGTTCTTAAAGAATTTATGAACACTTTGAGTGTTATAATCGAGGAATTATTTTTATCGGTGCTACAGGCACAGTCTCATTGAAAAAACAATATAACTATATAAATGAAACAATCATAACATTTAATGCATGCTTTGTGTTTAATTATCAATCTGAAGATTTTATATAAATTCCAATATTCGAAAGCATTGTTAGAAAAAAGATTATTGTCCACTCTTATTTATTATTGTCATTACCATTTTTATCGTTTTGTCATCATCATTGCTTTTCCTAAAGAAAATTATTATTTATTACATTGGTCCGGTAACGCAAGATTGTTTGTTTAGAAAGGAGTTTGTGATTCACATCAAAAAAGGTAATATTTTTATTTGCGAAGATCCTTTTCATTCAATTAATCAAATGTGCGAAAGGTGCGAGTGTAACACTGATTTGGTAGAAGTTTTTTTATTTTGAAAAAAACAAATCTGTTGTCCGACAATAAAATACTATAGTTCAGGATTAATTGTTGATTTTTTTTAAATAATGTCTTTTTGGTAATTTCATCTATAAAAAGGAAATTGCAGTTTCACGGAGTTGGTTGCCAAAACTATTTTGAAGAAGCGAAAGTCAAAATTAAAATTAAAAGTTATATGTAAAAACTAAATCAAAAGTCAATAGTCAAAAATCAAAGCTAGTTTTGACTTATGGCGAAACCTTTTGACTTTCGCACGGTTGCGAAACTCTCTATTGATCATTATGCGATCATGCCGGGAAGGGGAGAGAGAAATCAACACAGCATGTTGATGTTGATGTTGAGGAGACGTTGAAGTTCAACTTTGTTAAACTTGATTCTTGTGGAAGTAATTTTCTATGTTAAATTGCAAATATTCATTTTTTTTTTTTTGTGTAAAATTGGCTTACAGATGAATATAATTAATTTTTTTCCAAGGTCGTAAAGCATTTCTACTTTCAATGATACCTGATAGCCTTCCGTTTTTTTCTTTTGCTAGTCTTTTAACTTTGCTTGACTTTCTCTGCTACCTTCTTCCATGTCATGAATTTAATAATTATTTACAAGAATAAGAAAAAATCAATATATATCTTTTTTTTTTGTCATGAAGACAAAAAATGCATTACTATCTATTACTATTATTCCGAGATAAAATCGTCATATTTTAAGAACTATTTGACCAATTAATGAAAGAGATTTTAGCAAATAATTACATTTTCAATCAATTATCTTAGCAAACAATAAACCATTATTTTTGAGTTTTTGGTGAAATTTGGCAGTGTGGCACAGTAAATGGTGGTTATAGACTTCGCGCACCATACTACCCAAATTATAAAAATGAGGAATTTTGTAATCATCCAACTACAATTGATTTCATTTAATGCATACAACAATTGGTCAAAGTCGAATTCAATTTGACAAAATTTGCCATGACTGATATTTTAATTTTGTACAAGCAACATATTGATAAAATTGGAATGACACTTTTATAAGCTTTTGTTGGATGTTGTGTTGTGACCATCTTTAGCAGAAACTGATAATATTAATAAACCTAAATGAAAAAAAAAATGAAAAATTGGATATTGGCACAACGTGGAACAGAAAATGGGTT